TGGTGTCCTTCGCAGCTTTCACTGGCTGCGAAATCCGCCGCGGTGGCCCCCGTAGCTGCTTTCTTCGACACATCTGCATTGAATCTCAAAAGAAGTTGGCACATCTCCTGGTTGCCATGGCAGGCCGCCTCCATCAAGGGTGTTTCCTCATTGAGGTCATCAGCAGCATTGGGATCGGCACGACCTTCCAACAAGCACGAAACCAAACCAAGCCACTGGGGATCCTCTTTTCCATCCAGCGCTTCACGCACTGCAAGTATTAAGGGCGTCTCACCCAAAAGATTTCTTGCTTCAGGATCAGCCTCACAGTGCAGCAAGTAGGACAAAATGGAGGCATTTGATTCAGCTGCGGAGAACTTTGCAGCCAAATGCAGAACAGTGTGACCATCAGCGTCCTTGCGTTGTAAGAGGTCCTCACTGCACGCAACTTGCAACACCTCTTGGACTTGAAAATCATTTCCCTCTCGCACTGCTTTCATCAAAGCATGATACGCAGCATTTTCTTCAATCTTTGATGGCTTCAGCCAGGAAGACCTTCGTGCACACTGCGCACTTGATGCGGCTTCTTCTTCCTTTCGTCCAAACATCGGCCCAATTTTAAAACTCGGAGGCGCACCGTGCGGTGTTCCGCCCTTCGTTTGGAAGTGCGGAACACCGCTCAGCGCTGGAGGCGCTGGAGGCTCTGTGGACTTCTCGCTCTCAAACAGGTCATGTAGGGCATCGCTCAGCGGACGCTGCCGTTCTTGGAGCTTGAGAAAGCTCACCACTTTCGGCAGCTCAGACATGAGCAAAGGCTAAATGGCTTCACATCGAACGCGGACATCATGGCAAAGGAAAGTGCAAGCTTTCTTGAACCCCAGTGTTAGGACCTGGCAACTAGTTCAATGCTATACGTCTTCCCATTCTGCTGGAAACCAGTCTTTGGCAGGTCTTGACAGGCTCAAACAGGATGTGCTTTTGAGCCAGGCTAGGCAGCACAAACACACAAAATGTGTTGAGTGAAGATCCCTACACCTGTTACCGACAACAATGCATAGATCTTCTTGCAACCAAGAATCACACTGAATAAAAGCGAAGTCGCGATTCCTCCTGTTATGCGCCCCACCATCAACATTCCAAAAGACTTGAAGTGCTTCGTGAGGCATGACCTTGAAAACACCAACTCTCAGCACTCACTATAGTCACTAGCTTCAATGAGGAGTGTCACAGACTCAGTTGTGCATGCATATATATATATATACAGTATATGTAAAAAGTAGTCTTAAATAGTACAATTCTCTGATCGCCTACAACCGTGGAAATTCAGATCCTACCACTCCAAGCTTGCGGCAGGAGGTAGAGCAGGCAGTACAGCCCCTCGGCTTTGTTTGGTGTTGGCGTACCCAAGCGATCCAAAGTGGCTACAACTACATTCGGCGCACCAAAAACGGATTTCCGCCAAAACGACAACCCCATTGACACTCCCGGACACTCCCAAAAAAAAGCCGAGTCACCGCAAAGTTTCGGCGTCCATATTTGTCCGCCAATGAACCCACAAAGGTCCCAAAGATCGCACTGCTGCCAAAGCCGGCCACAAAGAGTGTGGCATTGTCTTCCCGTGAGAAGCCTCGAGACGCAACGCGACCGGCAGTCTGCAGCCGTCTGCGATGGCCGGCCGAGGCACCGTAGGACGCATACAGGGCATACACAAAAGGCCCTTGAAGCCAGTCAGCCATCATTGCACATAAGTAGGCCTTAGTGCAGTGAAGGGAGCCTGCACTGAGGTAACATGTTGATAGGATGTCTTGAGCAACCTCACGGAAGAACATTGAAATCGAAACTTCATGTTAACCAAGTGGCTGTCAAATAGGTCCGCTGTAGCCGGCTTAAATTGTCTGATGAGGTTGTGTACACCTCTGGCACTCTTGAAGTGGTTCGTCACAAGTCAAGTTCACAGCGATCGCCCAGCAAATTGTCCACTCTAAGCTTGCAGCCAGACCCTTGATCATTATCATACTGGTCTTGTCGATGAAAATGGCAAACCCCGTTGCCAGGACTCCGACCTGACAAATCGTGGCAGGACCCGACGCTGACGAAATGTCAGCAGAAATCATGGCATCTTCACAAGTGAGCAGGTCTCATGTTGCAGACTGGCGACCCCGATGCAACTGTACAAATACTCCTTTGCCAACATCTTGAAGCCGAAGGGTTTGTTGCTGAACCGCAACTCAAGACTTGGGATCGGCTGCTGACATATCACCCTCTGTTTTGCTGCTTTGAGCAAACAGCTACGGGCCGAGCACAGCGCAAAAGCATGGCACACGGTGAGACAAAAGCAAAAAGACCAATTTCTTCCCGCATCTTCGACTCCAACCCATTGAATATCGTTCCAAAGCAGCGGTCAGTCTTGCCGCCAGGTTGCGCTGAACGCGACAAGCCGCTGACATGCAAAAGGTGCCGAAAGCCGGATTGCTTCTCTGCAGCCACATGCCTTTCCAAAGCAAGGTTGCGCTCACTATGAGGATTTGAGTGCCTTTGAGTACTAGCAGTTGCTAGCATCTCATATCATCTCATCTTGTCCTTCTGCAGCAAAGGTGCCAAACAAAAAAAAGCATAGAGACCATGGCCTGGAGCCACCAAGGGTTCCATCTGTGGAAACACAACACATCAGCTAAGAGCCCATCCACATAGACCATCGCCAAAGTTAAGCAGTATGCCTTGGCAAATCTCACAACTTCAGTCCGTTGATTCCTGCTTGGCAGCATTGATGCCAAGGCACCACAATTCCATCTACCACATGCTTGGGTGACAGGCCAGTCCTGAACACACTTTGTGCAAGTTGCAAGCTAGTTACCTGCGAAAGGTGCCACACGTCCATGGTGCCCATTCCAGCCAGAGCGCATTTCCAAGAAAGTCTGCGAGTCATCACGGCCAACTTGCCTAATGAGAAACGACTGCATCCTGCCGGCAGGAAATGCAAACTTGTGCGCATATGCATGTCATCGGCTCAGGCAGTCCTGCTGATGCCAACTAAAATCAGCACGGGTATGGCTACCCGGATCATATGCATGAAGATTGCGCCTCAACCAAACATCAAACTTCTGCACAGGACTCATTTCAGGGCCCTTAAGCATGCAAAGTCTGACTCCAGCTTGCCGAGGCTCGTCGGTGGGTGTGACGCCAAAAAATGGCCGCCACGAGTGCCTGTTGCAAACGTGCCCCATCCTATATCGTAGCACTCGTCAACAAACTGGACAAACTCATCAACCCCCGAAAGAGGATCAACGATGGTAAATCGCCCCCATAATTACATTGTTTCTAATAGAAAACATTGTTCCAAGTATTGAGGCCAGGAGCCCCTAGTAGCGTCCTTGCTCCTAGTAGCGATGCCCTTTGCTCCTAGTGGCGCCCTAGGTTTGCGTAAGGCCATAAATGCAATGCCCCCCTCTCATGCCTGGAAATGCAATGGAAGCTTAGACGACCGATAGTCCCGCGCTGCAGTGCCTTGACTCGATTGCGCCACTTCTGCTTCCCAAGAATAATTGGTGGTGAAACGATACCTATATATTATATATATAATATACACACTGTATATATATATATATATCTGTGTGTGATAATGTGTGTGTGTGTGGGTCGTTGTGGCTCAATGTAAATCCACTGGATCCACCAAGCACGCTGGAATTGTCGGAAGCCTTAGGCCTCTTTACGATCTTTGCGTGTATTGCGGGCAACTCTGGGCGCCAGACGCATTGCCACAGTGAAGCCAACCGCAAAGCAAATCACAAAGGTAACCAACATGGCTCCAAAGCGCATGCCTGACGCAATGACTCTTTGCCTCTGACCGGTTCTCACCTGATCCTCAAGCCGTGCCTGCCAGTGATTCGGTGCTGTTGTCCGGTGGGTTCGGCCCTTTCTCGTTGGGTGGCCACTTGGCTGATCCCCACATCTGCCGCAGCACCTGAGCCGATGTTCGGATATCGTACGGCAAGAAGCTCCAGAAACCTTGCTCACAAAGCATTCCGTCCAAGTTGCAGCTTCCATAGTCCGGTCATCCTTCCGTTTCTTCTTTCTAGACGGTTGGCTGGTCCAGGGGTCCTTGCTCACGAGAATCATGCGCATGCTCAACAGCACATGTCTTTCCAGCAAACTGCTTGTGACTGCATGACGATTTGTGTAGCCAAAGATCGGGAAGATCATCACCTGCGACCACAGATCGCATCAGTACCACAAAACTACCACAAAACCTGTCTGGCAGCATGTACGAGGCCTGATGGGTCATCAAGTCCTATGATGCGCGATTCATGGGCCGCCAAGACCTGAAAAACTGCGTGACTCTTCCCGGCTGCTTGTGCTGATCGCTGGACGAAAAATGCCGGACACACTTGAAACCATGTTGGAAAAAAGAGAAAACAAATATAGCAAAAGGCACAACAAACGAGAGGGTATTGTAAGCAGCCTGGGAATGACAAGAGTCCAGCATCAGTAAGAATGGAACATCTTTCCAAAAAGGATAAGAAACAAAATTCAACCTGGGGCCAGTGCAGGTGTGCTCATGTTTGAACCGAACCACTTAGAGTTCTTGCTCAACCGATGTCCCAACCTCGACCGTCACCGCCACCAAAAGGGCGCACAGGTGTCCTTAGCAGCAATGGCGCATGTTTGGTCAAACCCCTCAGTAAGGCACTAGTTACTTGGCACTTGTTACTAGAAGCGATGCACTTGTTACTACTAGTAAGGCACATGTTTGGTCAAGCCCCGGAGCTTCAAAAGTTGGCCCTGCCAAGCTTTGCCAAGTTGCTGGTGGCTCGCATGGCGTCCCAGGAGCGCAGAATCTATTAGAATCTAACTACATCAAATGCTCGAGCCAATGGCGGATTCTAACTAACTAGTCACTCGTGTGATTTGCGAAGTTGCATGACTTGCATGACTCTGAATCTTTCAACGCTTTGGCACTAACATTTGCAGTGACCTGACATCATCACCATAGAGAACAGTGACCAAGGGACCAGGGCCAGGACCTTCCACTCTGCGTCAGTCCTAGCCGCTTGGCACTCCGGGTCCTCCAAAAGGCATTTGCGGCACAAGCAGATGCACATCTGGAACGCATGATGGGCCTTGCTTTCTGGGTTTGCTCAGAACGTGCGCAAGCCTGAAAAACAAAATAGCATGAACAGCACCAAGAACGCATTCAGATTCATCACATGTCACACATTTCTACTTCATGAGGCGTTGCCTCTTCCCAGGAGCGCTTGTAATAGTTGATCCAGGCTTGTGCGGACAATAGCTCTTGCTCCTCGCGCAAATATGTTGTGCGCGGTTTCTCGATTTTTGTTGTTCCAGCTGAGCGTCTGCACATTGTAAATTGCATCCGTCCTTCTCTGTGTTGCTGGTCTTGCTCTGTGCCAACTCAACCTGTAGGCTGTGGACCTCAAAGCCATCCGCGCAAACAACCTGTACGTACATTACTGGTTTCACCTTACCTTTGACATGGAGTGCCAAAACATTCAGTCTGCTAGGTGTGTTGCTTCATTTTCCAACTCTGCAAGCTTCTCCGTGGCCGATTTGGAATTCACCACCTGACAATTTCCAGTACATGATAAGGCGCTGTCAAGTGTCACTGAGGCATTGGCCAAAAGTACCTGAGGCTTCCACTGGCTTCGTCTGGATCTTCTTTGCAGAGGCTGCGAAATTCCTGTGAACGGGGATCCGCTTTTCAAAAGAGCTCGTTCCATATATTTCTGCAACTGCTATAGTTCTGCAACTGCTATTTTCAAGGTTGGCATTTATCGCTTCTGCATGATTCGCTGCAGCCAGGATGCAGCGTCGACCTGACTAAAAGATTGTTTGATTTCGTCTCTCTCTCTCTCTCTCTCTTGGAAAACCTCAGTTCAAGAAGGCCTTGCATTGCCTTGTCATAACTAAGCGCGCCAGAGGTGCATAGAATCCTCAAAGGCTGACTGGCATGGCGACAACCTGAGCAAAAGCACGGATTCGGAGGCAAGCAATTCAATCAGTAGCACAGGTGGCAAACAATATCCACTGCGTTCCACTGCGCTGTCAACAAAATCATCACCGAAAGCACACTCAGAACCTTGCGTGGCCACTACTGCCGTTCGTGAGTTGCCTTGCAGGGCCTGTGACAGCAGCATCGTCACCTGTGGAAGCCAACTCCCCCAGCGGCACCACGACCCGACACCGCTCCCATCACGACCGAGGCGTCGTCTAGAAAGAATGTGTAGTTACTCATAGCTTTCTTGTTACTAGTGGTAATGGCCTCCAACCTAATAGCTTCTAGCTGCTAGTAGTGATGCCCTTGTTTCTAGTAGCTTCAAGCTTGGACGCCTTGGAGTTCCTGAAATCCGACAAGTTGTTGTTGGACAGCCCACCTCATGGCCCAACAAAAAGAATCTCGCACACGAATCAGCACACATCAGCACGCGTTCCATGAAAAGATGGATCTCTATCCAGGCTAAACCTGCTGTACTACACATACACACGGCGCGTCAACACAAAGTGAGACTAAAACAAGCAACCAGAATGCTCTTGTCTTCCGCCTTGAGAGATTTTGGTAATGAGGTGCGCCAAGTGGAACAAAGAGGTGTTGATGAAGCACATCTCCTTGTACCTCAGTCGAACTCCAAGTTGCGAAGCTCAAACGACAGGTCACCCAGGTCAGAGGTCACCGAGCTCCGTCCAGACCGCTGAGTGCTTCACTGCATCGCGCCCGGATGGTTCCCCAACCGTTCACGTTCTTCGCGTCCGGCGAGGTCGACAAAAGTGACAGCACCTTTCACAGTCTCAAAGCATCAAGAGGTCACGTGGTGAAAAAAACGCATGCAAAAGGAGCACTTACGGCTTAAGTGTGCTTCAGTTCATGCGCATTGACATATGGCATTTCTCATGGCCATTTCACACATCCCGTACTTGCAATAAGTGCTGAGGTCATCGGCTCATGCAAGAACCACCCCCAGGAGGATCTGGTGCAGCGATGGTCACGCGGCGTTCTTTCCCCCGTGCTTGCGGAGGAGGTGGAGGTCCTCACAATCACGGGGCGTTCCTATTATTTCTCGCAGGGCGAGCGGCTGTGAGTCGCTGCGTTGTGCCTGGTTGTTCAGGTGGCTCTTCGCCAATCTGTTCATACCTCATCTGCAAGCTCTTTGGAGAAGCGATGTCTCAGCCTATGAACTCTGCGAATCACATCATTGGTGGGAACCCAGCTTAAAGTTGAAGAAGGCGTGACTGCGAGAAGAGCGAGAATTCCTCAGATGTGAGCGAATGCCCCAGGAGTCTTCTCCATTGCCCTTCATGGCTTGGGTTCAGACATTGTGGTCGCCTTGCACAAAACAAGTGCAATGGCGAAATCGAGGAATACGGAACACTGTCAAAGGGCCCTTACGTATACAACCGAGAAGGTTCATGAAATGGTCCTCGTTCTGAGATTCTGAGATCCTCGCTGCCACCGTACGCATTTGATTCCCAAAGTGCAAAAGCTCCATGACTTCTTCCGCGGAGCTTACGACAGACCTTGGCTCGGCTTCACAAACCTAACACCCGTGTCAAAGGCCAGAAAGTACATGCATGCAAATGAGTGACACTATGAGTGACATATGGTGGTGAGGATAGGTCAATGTCCCCTCTGCAAATATTCTGGCAATGGATCTTTAGATGCATTGGGCCAATGCTGTGTAAAGGCAGATGTGCACAAGATTTGACTGCAAGGTCTTCCGTTTGTCACAAGCTCCCAGCATGGTCAAACCTTCAATGCGCGCACCGTGCTTGGGGTGGCCTTGAGTCATGAACCACTCTCAGAAAAGCGCAGCAGAAGTGGGACTAGTGACTAATGCCAATGTTGAGTTGCTTGGCAAGTCTCTGAGGATGTTGCAGTGGACTCTCTTGGGTTTCTGCACTTGGGCCTTAAATGTGGAGGCAAGACTGAAAATCAAGCACGTGCCGTAAACACCTTGCCGAGGTGCATTGGGTTGAAGCAAATCTCTGATCTGCTCATTGTACACCTGGACCATCAAGCAGCTGAGGCTGCGTGCACATCAGCTTGCAAAGTGTGTTCTTGCACTGTGTGCATGTCTCGCTTCTAGTCATTCTGGCCATGTGCATTGATTATATACATACGTCGATTCGGCCCTGGCAGCATTTTGAGAGAACGATGGTTGTGGATGATACAGCGATGCTCAGTGATCCCGTGTTCTGATGTTGCTGACCTCTTGCCGATCACTTGCAAACCCTCAGGGTTTTCCTGCAGAGTGTTCCTGTATCATTCCCACGCACACACACACACAAATGTATATATTATATATGTGTGTGTCCGTGCGTATGTATATACATATGTAACATGTACATGTCATATATTTATAAATATACACCTAAAAGAGAAGAGCTTACTGTAGACCTGTTGATCACTCAAGCCCCGGTTTGAGTCACCTGAGTTCCTTTCCAAAAATCGTTCGCTTGGTTGCCGTGGTGGGCTGGCTTGGCTCTCTCTCTCTCTCTCCCTCTCTCTGGGTGCCGTTGTTGGACCCGAAGCGCTAGGCCGCTAGGCTAAGCCGCTACGCTAAAAATCAAGACCCCTCATTGCGGCGTGCGTTGGAGCTGGCGTTCTCAAGTCCAAAAGTGGAACTCTCTGCAACCGCTACTAGTAGCGTCCTTGCTCCTAGTAGCGATGCCCTGTGTTCCTAGTAGCTTCTTGTTACTCGTAGTAAGGCCAGGAGCTACTAGTAGTTTCTTGCTCCTAGTAGCGGTGCCACCACCAAACAAAAGCAATCCACCCCGGCACTCATGATCTGGGACCTCCTACAACACAGCATGCGAAGCCAGGCAAGCCCACATAACAACAAACATCTGATCTATCTATAGCGTTTATGTCACCGACATGTCCAGCCCCCCCGGGACATCCAAAAACGACCGTACGGATTGGAAACCGTACCCTACTTTGCACGTTTTCATGTCAAACCCATTGGTAAACGCAGTGCTTTGTCATGCGTTTTGCCTAAATAAAAAACTTTTTCGTGACACCTCAAGTTGCCTTTTTTGTGTAACTAGCTGTCCCCAGTCAGGCTCCGAGTGCAAGTGTTTTTCATCGATGCCGCTGTCGCGCAAGTCAGCGGCGGCGCACCCATATCGGACATGGAGCTGCTACAACTACGCAACAAACGCCAACTCAACACCAACAGTCACCAACAGAAAAGGAGTTAGTTCCCGCTTTTTCGAAAAAGAAAACCTCAACCACACATTGCACCAAAGTGCGAACAACGAAAGACGAGTTTCTAACACCTGCTCCCAGTTTTCCCAGCCACGGTCTGAACCCAAAACTGCTTTGTGAACAAAAAGAACTATATAAAGGGTCAGAACAATCACAAGTTAAGCCGTCTACGTAGTGGTCTAATGAAAAAGGGTTGACACACCACAAAGGAGGAAAACACAAAAAATGAGGAGGACAAGGAACACCCGACAACCGAAACAACAAAACTAAAGCACGCGCCGTGGCTACGTCTTGCGCCTTCGTGCTCATGAGACGTATGTGAAAACAAGAACGAAATTACAACAGCCCCCCCCCATGTTTTCTGTCTTTTGGGCCCCCATTTGCGCTATTGCTTCAACTTGGTTACAGTATCTTGCGATATGCTCTTACGCAAAGCATTGACATGCCATAACATTTGGCTCAAGGTATGTGCGTGTGAAAACGGCCGCTCGATCGCCTTCGCTCACTCGCTCTTGTGAACCTTGTTGGCCTGTGAGTTGAATCCAGGGATACTGTGTATTATTACACGCTCCACTGCGGGGAATTTGACCCTCACCCCACCCCCCCCACCCCACCCAACACCATGTGATGACATGACCAAGTGTCGTGGAGTCCAAAAATGTCAGAAAAGTGGGTCCGGTTTTCAGCCCCTAGGCAAAAAGCTATATTAGAAGCAAGAAGCTAGTTACTAGGAACAAGTGCATCGCTTCTAGTAACAAGAGCCTTACTAGTAGTAACAAGAAGCTAGGCCAAAACGACAAAAGGTCCGCCTCGAAGAATTCACAGCTGCAGCGCCAGGTGTCAGGTCGTGGCCTGGAGGGGCAAGCTGGAGGGATCTGGGACAGGTTGGCCAAACTGTTGACTTCGGAACTCCCAACGTGCCAAACAAATCGAAACAGTAGCTAGAAGCTACTAGGTGGAGGCCATCACTAGCAGGTTGGAGGCCATCGTTACTAGTAACAAGAAGCTACTAGTACTGGTAGGTCTCCATCCATCCCTGAGTTTGGAACGCATCCTCGTGCTCCTGAAAAAGTTCGATGAGGAAACGGGGCAACAACCTCAGCTATCAAGTCCCCGATCCAGGTCGGTTGCTCAAAGACCACTATATATAATTATTCTTCAAAGTAGCGAGAGGCAGTGAAGTCCATAACAGCAAACAAAAGGTGTTCATGGTACATGTTCCTGGTACAAAAAACCACTGGAATCCCAACAAATGCTCTTACAAACTCTCAAACGGCAAAAGCCTGAGATCTTCACCCTGCAGCAGCTCCACGTCCAGATCCAGCAGCATCACCCAGCATGGTGTAGGTCCTGGACAAAAAGCTGAAATCACTCTCAAAGCAGCTAGTAACAGGTGCATCGCTAGTAATAACAAATGCCTTACTAGTAGTAACAAGAAGCTAGTAGAAACAAGTGCCTTACTACTAGTAACAATAAGACTCTCAAGCTGGGGCTGTACACCGCAGCCATTGAATTTTGACCACTCAGTTGATGGCTTTACATATCGCACTGGGCTCAGCACTTTCCAGAACCGGTGTGCCCGTAAGCAAACACACAAACATTGTAGCCTTTCCTCGGTGCAAGGAGTTTCGTTTTCGCTCACTTCCGAACGGTGAGGCGAAAACGAAACAATGGCCTTTGCTTTGCAACCCCCACAAAACCAAGAGCCAAGCAATGAGTGAGTGACCAAATTGCGTCCGAAATCATTGAAGAACTTCGCCTTGGGGATAGAAGAGGGGAAAGACTGATGCAGTGATGCTCCATAAGTCTTATAAAAATTCACAGCATCACAGGATAACTCCGGGTATTGCTCTCACAAGATTTCCTGCCTGTGACTCCGCAGCTTCTGCTTTGCGTTGCCTTGCCGGTCTGTCATACACCCGTCCGAACGTGAATGCCAAGACTGATGCCTTTTCTTTTTGCTTCCTGCACCAGGCTTGAGCTGTACCACATACGAGCCCTGAATGAGCTCATTTTTCTAGCAGCAACGTCGTCGCCGAGTCATGGCCGCTAGCCATCAAAGCCATGGCACCATGGTTGGCTGTGGCCTCCGGGTCAACGTGCCAACTCCATGCTCAAGCAGCATCTTGACAACAAGCTCATGTCCAGCAGCGAGCAGTAGGGCTGTCTAGTTCGCATGTGCTTCAGCAGCATTTCCGCGACAGCCTCATGTGCATTCCGGCGATTCCATCGGCCAGACCGCGGGAGCCATCAGAACTGCAGTACGGGCACCGAAGTGGTCATACCGTCACACCAATACTGGACACTCATTGACCTGCACGCATCGCAGCTGTGGCCATAAGCACCAGGCCCCGGCTTTTGGGCTCTCGGACCCGAAAACTCCTCGAGCAGGCACTCTGCAGCTGCATAAAACTGGAACATGTCACATGTCGGCCACGCCAAGGGCGCCAAGCCATGGGTGGTCCATGACTTTCTCGACCCAAGCACGACCGGCATCTCAGATCCCGTGGCTTGGAGATGCACAAGACATAGACATCCGTTGGGTTGATTTTGCCTCGAAGTCTCCCGGGCTCAAGGATTTGCAACGGCCTGCTCATTGTCAGAGCCTTGAGGCTGGGGTGCAAGGGCAATGGATTCGTGTCACCATCACTGCACTACCGGGCTCTGTGGGTGCAGGCCGCAGTGACGGCGCACCTGGTTCAATGGCAACCTCTACAGTACTCTTTGGGAGTGACACGGGTGTCACACAGGGCAGCGCAAAAGTGGCCCCAAAAGTGTCAGCAAGTCTGAGAACGATGCCGTCACATATGCCGAGAGACCCCTATGACTCAGGTCACTGGTTTCCTCCTGATAGTGTGCACAGCATGGTAGTGACTCCAATGTCAAAATCTGGATTCTAGGTTTTGACATCCAGAGTCATTGCGGAGGTGTCCAGCGCAAATGGGGACTACCTCTTCTCCACAAGAGCTTATGCATTGTCTGTGCTGAAGGTGTCACACTGCTCAGCCAACCACCCAGAAGCAACGAAGACCTTCTCCAAGTGCAAACTTGGCTGACCGTTCTCTCGATCATTTCGGCCAAGCGCTTGTTGTCCGATTTGTGGCTTGCCAGCCCGAAGCTCCAACCCTTGAAGATCACCGTAGCTGGCTGAAGCATCTGCTGTGGAAAGGGTTCCTGTGACAGGGAGCGCCACTCCACCTCACTGCCATCACAAAGTTTGGCAAAATGTCACTGCTGCGAAGCGGGCGCAGCTCATTGTCATGCTGCGAGTAGCACAGGCGGCGCGTTGCCCGGGGCCTTTCCGCAACTTGTGCTTGAGCCAGGTTGTCGATGTACCCAAAGTCCTCCACGCCAAGTACAGTCGTCCACAGGTCTTGGTTCCGAAGGTTTTTCCAGCAGTGCGGACTGGAGGGGATGGAATACTTCAGTAGGTTTGTGGGTCACCACGAGTCACCACTGGTTCCAAAGACGGATACTTCACAATAGCAAGTACTTGTTTGATGCTGCTTCTTACTCTTCTATTGATTGAGGATGCAACTCTGCAGCTGATGGTCGAGGACTCTTCTCCAAGCTGTCGTTCGACCGCGCTGATCGTGCAGTCTGGCCAACAGAATTCAAGCTGCTTGGTGGACAGGGGAGGTTCAAAACTTGCTGCTGCACCATGCGAAAGACCTTGCAAAATCTCACCTCTCTCAAAGCTGGTCATGCCGCCTGCATTCGCCAACGCGAATCGAAGACCTGGTCCAAGGTGTACTGCTTCTTCTCACGCCTAAGGCGCGGCGCGGGGACGGCGTGCCAGGGCCTTTCAGGGGACCTTTTCAGGCATCTAAACTCGGAAAACTTCAACTCCTGAGAACGTCACCCGTTGTTGAAGATCGACAAGGTCTGCGCATCAGAGTAGACCTCCACACCTAGGAGAGAGAGAGAGAGAGAGAGTGTCTCGCTGCGCTGGGAAACGATCGAAATCCGGAGAAGACCGGTGACCGGTCCTTTGAGGTCTCAACCGTCTGGTTCCTTATCTTCTTTTGGCAACTTGGGCCGAATTCTGGCCACAACTACCACAGAGGCAGTTGCAGAAGCCTTCGCGTAAGAAGCAAAGCAAAAGGCTGCACACATCTGAAGCAGAACAAGTGGGCCCAACGGCCAATGGCTTTGCAACTCAGAAGCCCCTCCATTCTCATCAACAGAGCCCATGTTTGCCTCAGTCACCCCAAGAAACAAACAACAAACAACACAAGTTGCTGCCAGTGAGTGTGCTCGCAAGACGTCTGTCTCACTTCAACGGATCAGATGACGCATTCTCAAAGAACGATCGATCGTGACGGGCCTGTGTCGTGGAACGCTGTGGAGGTCGTCGAGCGACAGGTGGTACAATTTTGTTCGCCTGGTGCAGTGCGCCAACCCGGCTGAAGGTCTTAATCACCCTAGCGCATCTATTCCCAAGCAGCAAGCAAGCAAGCCCGCTCTACGAATTACTGTATCTGCTGCTTTACCACATGTGCAAGGTTCTGTCAACGCTCAGGTCGAAGCTGGAAGCGTCGAAGCTCGATTGAGCTGTCGTTTCATCATGCCTCGGCACGACACGAGTGAACGAAAGGGATCGACTTGAAAGACAAGACATGACACGACTACACACACTGTGTATCACACTGTGCGCGGACAAACGAGTGCAGGACACTTAGTCTATCTTAGTCTAAATGTCTGAGTCCGAGCTGTGTTTCAGTTCAGCGTGCATTAATGTTTTGTTTTCCGTTTCCCCCGCCTTCCAGCCCTTGTCACCGCTTTTCTCTAAAAAAAACTGTAACCGTTAACCCAAAACGAAGCCTACAGCCTAAATGGCAGCAAGACAGCTCCAATTCAAACAACGCGTTTCAACTCTTAAAATCTCTTAAATACGAATTTTGTAGCCAGGCCTTGACTAGAAGGACACATCTATAGATCTGAACTGCAGATCAACCGCCGGTGACCTTTTTGTCTCTGCATCAATGCGAATCAAGGGCCACTTTGGCTGCCTCACATGGACTGTGCTACCAGCGTTTTGCCGTACCTGGCCTTGCTAGGTTGGAGACACGACGGTCTGCGCAATCAGGGATCCCAAGGAAACTCTAACGGTTCGGCTTTTCCTCGGTTTGGATTAGATCACGTCGGCATCTCACAGCATCTCACAGGTTTGCCCGGCGCCTGCATTGTTGCCGTGAAGTGCGTGGACAGGGAATTGGGACAACAGTATGTAGAAGTCACGCCTCCACTTACACCACTTATGTGCTTACAAGAGCTTGCGAAAGCAGCCTTGAATGCGTCTTAGCCTTCGGTATATATCCTACTGTCTTAACGGGAGGACTGCTTGGATGATGTCGCGCGCATTCAAGTGACCCTGATCTGCATGAGCACAGGCAGGACATTCGATATCATTTCTAAGCATCAAGCCGCATGTCCAGTGCAGCCTTTTGCTGCTCTAAATGCGGTGAAAGGCTCAAAGACAGATTGCTCTCTGAGGCCTTGACTACATGGCATGTCGGACTAAAAGCCCTTCGCTGCCCTTTGGACTACACCTATCAGAAACTCTTGCCGGACAAAGCCCTGCAAATTGCATCTGCCTCTGGTTCAGTTATGTCACCCAAAGTGTTGCCCACGAGATGGTCGTACACCTCCTCTGCATACTCCCGAACAGAAGGATTTGAGTCCTCCCTGAAGTCATACACGACTTTCAGCACCTGACGGGAGCTATATAACATGAGCCAAAAACAGCTTGTGGCTGGAAATGTACAAAGCTTGACGTTGAACTGTACAGGACATCACCACAAATGCGGGTCCAACCCAAATGCTCTCCTATTCATCTGCACTTGAGATACTTGACTAGCTGGGTTTTGATCGACCAACACTTGGCTTGCCGCCTCTCGCGATTCGGCAGGCTGTTGGAGCTGCAATGCACGTGTGGCAGCCATCTGAATGAGCCAGCTGTGCTCGGTGAGATTCTGCAATACCAAACGAATGACCTGATGCAGCAAAACACAAGAGAAAAAAGAAACATGAGCCATAAAATCCTGTCTAGGGTTTACAATGGTGTACATGTTGCTCCCCCAAAGGCTGAAGTGTGCACTTCGACGAGCCCAGCCTCAGCATGCACTTTGGGGTTGAGATCCCTGCAACGGATCTCCTCCAGCCAAACCCGATTCACATCAGGATCTGCGTCTTCAAGCCTCTTCCGAATCGCGGCCCATGCTGCTTCAGCCACTTTGGCTTCAGCATCCTGCAATCTCGCAGCCAGTGCCGCAGCAGCCTGGGCAAAGGTGTCTTTTATGCATCAACATCTTGGACAGTTGCTTAATTAGGCAACATTGCATGGCCACGGAATTTCTCCCCTTTCATCGCGTCGACGGCAAATCACAACGTTAGAATATCACCGTCCTGTCCGGCCTTGTTGTCAGTCCTGTCGGCCAAGGAATCCACGGCAGAAACCGCTTTGGCACGCACCTCATCATGGCATGTTCCCCCAAAGGGGCAAAGGTCCAAGCACCAAATGAAAGAGCAAAGGTCCAATGAACACTGGGCCTATCAGCCGCTGAACTACAACCACGCCCGAAGGCTCAATTGCAGCATACAAATCCCAACCCACCCAACATGGTCCAAGCACTGGAGCAATAAACTTGCGGCGTGCCTTTGGCTCGCTCGAAGACAAGTATTCGTAGAAGCTATCGCACATTGCCAGTCGTAGCCACCAACTCCCACCCGCAAGAGCTGTAGCGACAACCTTTGCAAAATTCCACACCCATCATCACACACATGATGTCTCATACAGGCAAATCTTCCCCGACAAACATGTAAACTTCACAAGTTGCACTATGTTGCACTTCGGAAAAGCCTGACTAGCACAGCCAGGCATCTTCAATCGACTCGGGGCGTCTGGACATCAGCAATGCTCGCATGGTTTGCACCAAGCGTTTTCGGGTGGAGTCATCCTGCGAGCGTTTCAGACGACGCAATTCACAACCGGGCAGCCACAAGTATCGAGCAGTCATGGGTGTGTATGTTTCTTCTACTGTCCAGGCGGTGCGACCGAGCCAGCAGCACCAAGATTCCAGCACAGGACGCTTCGTTGAATCCCAGAAGGGTTGACCAGGCTTCCTCGCGTACACTTGGATCCTTGTCCTCAAAGCACAAATCGTGAGCTGGTGCGAGTGGTGAAGCCCGGTGCAGCCAAGTGAAGCCATGAAAGCTATGACCATTCGGCCAAGATGCTTGCAAAGCGTGGCTCACAGCCGAGCGGCATCTTGAGTCTGCCTGGCTGGCCACACCAAACTCTGTACTAGTAGCTTCTTGTTACTAGGAGTAAGGCCAAGCGCCCCTAGTAAAGTAGCGTCCTTGCTCCTAGTAGCGGTGCCCTTTGTTACCTTCGTAGCTTCTTGTTACCAGTAGTGATGGCCCCCAACCTAAAAGCGATGGCCTCCAACCTAGAAGCCTGCGATAGTAGCAGCACCAAACACAATGTCAAAAACAGTCACCCAACACAAGTCACGTGCACTCGTCAAGCTACAATTGTCCCCAGCCAAATCCAGCTTGCATGGAAAGAGCTCGAGTCTAGGTGGGTCTTGTGCTTCCTACTATATACATATACACTTTGGAAGATTGACATGGAACCTCAAAACCATTCGAGTTGTAGGGGAAAATAGTCTTCCAAAGGTCAATGTTCAGGTTCCATGTTAATCTTCCGGGGTGTAATTACAGCAGGTTGAATGAACATGACAGTCCTCCACTCCACACTGCGTGAGGCTGGCAAGGGCAGCTTTCCGAACTGATGGATTGCCGTCCTACCACAAGCTCAAAGGGAAGCTGTGACGTGCTCTCTCGCCCTAACTCGCATCAATCAAACGTCTCATTCGGAGCTTTTCTGGACAGTGTCTTTCTCTCATTTCTTTTCGCCAGCCAATAGCGAGCCAGGTGTTCTTCCGCAGCGAGCGCGAGCGCTTTTCGCGCTGCGCTTCGCCTCTTAAAGTTGGAGCAAGCATAGCATCTCTTGAGAGAACACACCGTTGGTCAAAGGCAAAACCTCCACATCCGATGGCTCCGTGCTCTTGTTTCTTGGCTCCTTGCGCTCCTTTGGCTCCTGCACCTGCGAATCCATCCAACCCTGAGCACGTTCAGTGGTACGTTCAGCCGCAGTTTTGATGCGATCGTCCTTGAGCAGTTTTTCGTCGACGAAGGCTAGGGCTTTCTGTCCGCTTGGCGCACCCAAGGCCTCCAGCACGATGTCAACATCTGCGCGAAGTCGTGGTGCCGCAAACTCTAAGGCCCTCCCTTTGTTTCGCACGGCCGTCAGCACCAGCTCTTTGTCATCACGCAGCTCCTGTGGAAGATGCTGCAATGCAAGACCACGGCTGGCAACTCTTGCAAGAGCCAACTGCCGATCAGCTTGAAACTTCAGCATTGCTCTCTCGATGTCATGACCGTAAAGAGCCGGCGACATGAGGGAGCCTGGTCGCAAGGTCAGTCTCCGCACCATAGCAAAGAGCCTTGGACTGTGAATGCTACATGGCAGAAGTTTCCTTTGCTCAGGCCGCATGGGGACTAAAAGCATCGCATGTGCCTCACCGCCATCCTTCACACACGACCCTTTCAAAGCCAATCTTTCCAAGGCCTCGACCACCTCGGCCTTGTGTTTCTTGCGGTGTTTCCGATCTCTGGTCGCAAGGTCATTGGGATGGCCATAGAGAAGCTGATTGGGATTTCCAAAGGCCAAAGCTGCCATGGCAGCACATGGCAAGCGTACAGCCACGAGGCCCCAACGCACAAACCTTTGCCTTTCTTGTCTTCTGAGCCCAAGCTGCGTTCCATGTCAGGCATTCTGACAGTGAGCAACTTTCTGCAATCAGAACTCAGTGAATGTTCGGATGCATCATGATGCATCCAAGGCTAGCACGCCTATCCCTATCCCGAAGCAGTCCTGCATACACGTGACCAAAGCGCCTGTCTTCGCTCGGTCCTGGAAAAGGTTCAAAGATGGACACAGCACATGGGCCCCGTTCGGGTGGTGGCTCACACGTCTATGAGGCTTGGTTGGTGGATGTGACTCTTGTGCTGAACGACGTCCAGTCGTGGGCAGAGTTCTTCCACCGTTGCATGGCGCGTTGGAGGTGGCCGGAGGGGACCCCATGACATGCAATGGTTGATACAGGCCTTCTTTAACGCAACTGACTCCAAATTGTTATACCCTGTATCATGCAAGCCTCCCTGCTCTAAACGAAGAAATGGCACCCAAAAACCAAAGCAGCAGTGGCATTGCCAAGTTCACAACATCCTGAGAATCACCCGGAGACTGTTCCAGGTAACCCTACTAAGTGAGCAGCCAAAGGCGAACCCAACAAAAATTAACACAGTCTCACACATCCAGAGCATTCCAAACAACCATCAACCGTGCATCCGTGGGTTTTCAGGTTAATTCATGTGTACAGTAAACACCTCGTTAGGAAATGTTGAGATCCCTAGCAGGGCAGGTCTGTAGTTCTTCCACTGTGAATGAAGCCACCCGGGGTCTTGGTGCTTATCCTTAGGTCTTTCTGGGTGGCCTGGTCACAACCACTGCGTCCTCGAGGTCAAGTTGTGGCAACACAGAGGTTGCAGCACAACGCACCTTCGCATCAGGGTCACGGAGCCTTTGACACAGCACCTGGTCCATCAGGGCCGTGCGAAATCGTCGAATGGACCAGCCCCTTCGAATGTGCAGTGCTGGTCCAAGGCGCTGCTGAGCACTTGTAGCCACAGGTGGTGGCCTCAAAACTGTTGTCTTTGGGCTTGCCTCTGAGATGCTCAGCCAACAGGGTTCCGTTCGTCTGAGCTTCCAGCCAAGTAAGCCAGTGTCTTCACAGCTGCCGCTCGCACAATTGGACTGCCATGCTTCAACGACTCCTGACGGCCATTCCGCCAACTCGGACCGCTGAGACCCATCAGCATGTGTCATACCTTCTAGCCTTGGTCCATGTCTTGTCTTGATTCAGCTGACTGAAGCTTGCTGAACTCTCCTTCACGCTTGAGAAGGCTCCGGAATTCCCCTCAGCCACCGTCCGCAACAAATCGATGGCGAAGCCAATGGCCAGCTCCTCGATTCAATCAGGTCAGCGATGGCGCGCGGCACCGGAGCAATCTCCGAAGCTCCAGTGCTGGGACCCCCGACTGATACAGATGCC